AATTATTGCAGGATTACCTATGAAATATCAAATCACTTTCCACCTGTGATGGTAAATAAGTAAATTCAGCCACATGAGAAAGCCCACTCACTACATGACTGCGTCTGTGTCATGATATCAGGGCAATTAGAAGAGACTGCCTGCTACCCAAACTCCACCATCCCATCCCAAATATTTTATTTTAAGTTTTAGCCAAAAGGGTTTTTGTATACTATTAAATATGGATATTCCTGAAAGAGGTCACACATGAAGCCCATGTTATTTTTTGCATCTCTGAACAAATGTCTTTATCAGATTCTTCAAGATGCTAATCTAAACCCTTTACTGTTTAATTCTCTGAAATGTCTTCAATAATTATTAAGTCCTAAGACTTAAACCTTAATGTTTATCGAAATAATCATAAACTTCTGTGATTTGCTCTCATATGGTGTCCACACCTAGACTGGAATAGTCAGCTAACTAGTGGACATCCCCATCTACACTTCATACTCAAAATGCCCGGAACCAACACATGCTATTCCCTTCATATCTGCTTTTCATTTGCTACAGGTTTACTCAGCCACACAGTAGTAGTAATATCACTCAAGTAGTAGCGTCCCAGACATCTTTCTTCTCTTCCCCACAGTCAGTGATTATATCCTGAAGATTCCAACTCAGTGATACCTCACATTGAAGCGGCTCTCATTCAGAAGCCCCTGTCTCATGCAGACCTGCAGTTTTCCTCCCTAGACTCCCAAAAGAGCTTCTTACTCACAATTCCCAGCACCACTCCCCACTGACATCCCTCTTCCTAAAGCTCAGCTTCGACCGTATCACCGTCCAGTATGAAAACTCAAATGTTCCCCATTGCTTATTAAATTCAGACCAAACTCATCTTGCTGTTCAGTATATACTATGATACACTGTATTATGTAATATCCTACACCGTATTATCATACACAATGTTAAGATACACTGTATTATGATACACTTCTACTTTCACATACCCACTAGTAAAACCAGAACACTCACTCCCCTCAAAGATTCTGTTGCTTTCCAGGCTACGTGCCTTTCCTCAAATTCTTTCCTCCACATTTCACTCATTCCCCATTTCCACCCATTGAGAGCTACCTATCTTCAAGATCAACTTCAGTTTTACTTTCTTCACGAAGTCTTTCTGGCTCTCCCAGCTGGATGTGATCGTCTCACCGTGGAACTCCCATGGCGTCCGCTGTGCCCTGACTTCCTAAATAGTACCATCATGTCTACGAGTGTCTTATGCTACTCACTATGTTGACAAACCGTTAAGTCCAGGAACAGTGTCTTATTAATTTCTACCTCAACTGCAGTACCTAGATCAATTCTCGTGTATAAAATGCACATAATTATTGAAGTGCTTCTGAATGACTTTTGAAGGAGGATAAGAAAAAAAGTGGAGGAGTTCTGAAAGGGTGGCTATGCCAAGAAATTATATCACAGGCTCCTGGAGAGCAACTTTACACACTTTGTAATCTTGCATAAGACTGTGGCTTAGCACAAGCGTCTTGGCAATGATGAAAATCGGTGTTGGGGGCAAGGCAGGCTGGTCCAGAGCACCAGCATCCACTTGGATAAAATCTAGTACTAGGGACTTTCAGGTAGGGAGGGCAACATGAAACCACTGCGTCCCAGGAATCTTGGTAGTATCTTCAGGTCCTGGAAGGCTGCGGGGAAGATGGCAGCTCTAGGCCAGAGGATTCTGGGAGGCAAATGAGGTAATAAAACTAACTGCCTGTTTCACCATTCTACATACACTAGTTTAGACTAGCACTATTTTAGTCTTGTTTGGGTTCTAAATATCTGTGAAACTATCAGTCAGTTGTTCAATCAATCCTTACATATTTATTGTGTGCTTTCAATATGCCAAGCACTTGCACTGGGCTAGGTGCTGAAGTGATGGGGGCTAACGAAAAAGACAGAAGTCCCTGCCCGTATGGACCTTACTTTCTAGTGGAAGAAGAGACATGATAAATTGAAAACATGCATAAAAGATTAGAAACTGATCTTTGTTTTATCCTCTAGATGAAAATCAAGCAGGCTATAAAGGTGAAATGTGAGAATTTCAATCATAGTGGTCAGGGCTTATGAAGAAGATGATAGTTGAGCAGGGATGTGGAAGACGTGAACATGTGTCTGTGCAGCCACCTGAGGAAAAGAGCTCCACAGGAAGAGGACAGAGCCAGTGCAAATGTTCCGAGGAAAGCAAGGCTGGTGGTTAGAGAAACAGAGAGGAGGTCAGAGTGGCTGGAGTGGTTGGAGGCAGAGTGAGATCAGAGAAATAAAGAGAGACTTCTAGTCTTCGTAGGCTATGGCAAAAACATGGCTTTTACTTTGGAATGGGGAGCTCCAGGAATAGCTTTGGCAAAAATTGACGCTATTGCTGTTGACCTGGGTTTGAACTGGAGAGAGGACCAAAGCAATAAGCAGGGAGACCAGTTAGCAGGCCACTGTAAGATCCTGGGCAGAAGATGATGATGAAAGTGTGGACCAGAATGGTGGTGGTAGAGATGATGAGAGGTGATCAACATCAAGAAAAATTTTAAAGGTAGTGTCTCTAGGACTTTCTGATGTATTAGATAGAGGAGATGAAGAAAAAAAGTCAAAGATGACTTGAAGGATTTTTGTCAGCACAACTAGAAAAATACTACCGTTTATTAATGGAGACTATTAAAGGTGGCATAAGTTGGGAAAGCAGAAATAATTAGGGGTTGAGTTTTGGATCTATAAAGCGTGTGATACTTATGAGACATCTACATGTAGTCTGGAAGTCAGGAGAGAGTCTGGGCTAGAGATATGAATTTGGGAGTCATCAGAATATAGACAGTATTTGAAGGCAAGAGACTAGATGAGTTCACAAGAGAGGGCCATAGAGAAGAGCCAAGGTGCAAGGACTGAGCTTGAGGCACCCCAACATCCAGAGGTCTTAGAGAAGAGGGGGAACCAGCAAAGGAGGCTGAGAAGGAACCACCAGTGAGGCAGGAGGCAAACCAGGTGGGTGTGTTGTCCCAGGAGCCCAGATACAGATGTTTGAGGGAGGAGGGGGTGGGCAGCTGGGGCAAATGCTGCTTACACGTCAAGTTAGATAGATGCAAAATGGCCTTTGGATTTAACAACCTGGAGGTCATTGGTGACATTGACAAGAACAGTTCAATGGAGTGATGGGATAAGAAAACCTCAGAGGAAAAGGTTTGAGAATAGAAGAGGAATTGAAGAGATTGGGTACAGATGCTTCATCTTGTCACAAAAATGTGGTCTTTTATTTGTTTTTGAGATGGAGTCTTGCTCTGTTGCACCCAGGCTGGTGTGCAGTGGCACAATCTCTGCTCACTGCAACCTCTAGCTCCTGGGTTCAAATGATTATCCTGCCTCAGCCTCCTAAGTAGCTGGGAATAGAGGTGTCCGCCACCACACCCGGCTAATTTTTTTATTTTTAGTAGAGACGGTGTTTCACCATGTTAGTCAGGCTAGTCTTGAACTCCTGATCTTAGGTGATCTGCCCACCTCGTCCTCCCAAAGTGCTGGGATTACAGGCATGAGCCACCATGTCCGGCCAAAAATGGTCTATGTTTTTAAGCCAGTAATTCAAACTTTCAATTAATCCAAATGGGCACTGTGTCCACAACAATCTGAATAAGCCAAATTTTACTTGTGAAATCTCCCTATCAGACAAACCACAAAAAGGTTTTGTGAAATGGGTTTCAGCAATTTTAAGTCTGGAAGTCTCTTTGTTAACTGAAGGAAAATAAACACTTCCTTCAGTAAATTTGCAGCTCAAAGTATTTTAAATTTTATAATCAAACTTCTATTTGGAATGTCTCACACACACACACACACACACACACACACACACACACAGAGCCCCCGAAATGATGACATCATAGTTCTCAATTGAATATTGTACCTCATTATAAATAACATTTACTCATTCCTAATATTTCACTATTGATTTATAGTTACTTTTTTTCATGTCGTAGCTACCACAGACTCACCTTAAATTTGTAATAAGGTTTCTCATTACATAGACATTTGACTGCCTTTTGTACTTGTAGATACAGGCTCATGTTGTCAACAGTTGGGCATTGGATCTCAGAAAACATTAAGCTTGGGATTAAAAGCAGGGCAGAGAAAGCTGTCAGTAAAACATGCTAACCTAATGTATGTGGCGAGGACAGGGTCTAGTTCACATCCAGAACTGCAAGGATGCTGTGAAGTACAATGACTTGATACTTGTGATATCATTTTGTTGTAACATTAAATCCAAGAGTCTTTTCGACCCAAGGGCAATGCCAGTTTCCCAGAAGGCTCATTTCTCAGAGCCACTGCTCCAAAGATGCCAGTGCACCCATGCTGATACTTAGTCTCATGTTATTTCTCAATTTTATGCTTAATTTGCTCCTTTTGGTTTTATGTATTTTGACACAGCCAAGTGTACGTGGGGATTTCCCCATAGTCCTTTAAATGCTATAAAACTTTAATATAGGGAGATAAAAGCCATAATAAGCCATGCCTTCAAGCCCTCACATTTAGTTCTTTATTTGAGTTTGACAATAACCAGTTTTAGATACTGATTTGGATTTCTAAGTACGTGCACTGCTTTAAATGCCCTTGTGCCTTTCCTGACCCTCCTCTCCCACCCAAATGAAAATTATATTCTACCCTTAACCTGGACATGCAACTTCCATTGACTGCACAAAATGGCATCTTTACAATTCTTAAATTAACATCATAATGGTCAACATCATGGATGTGAGCCAATGAAATTTAATATGGTTCAGAATAAAGCCAAGATGGATGCCCAATTCCCAATTTTAGGCATCCAACCCTGGAATGTCTTCTGGAAAAAATGAAGTAATGCTCCTGGTAGGCTGTTGGGTTTGTCTGTTTTCAGCATAATTGCCATCTCTCAGCTTCCTAATACCCTTAAAAACCTCTGAGAGTCTGTAATGTACAAAGTTCAACAAAAACACCTTTAAAACAGATTATTCTAATTATGTTTAATATTGGTTTGCTGCTTTATTGAATAAACTACATTTGCTTAAAAAAAAAAAAAGGAATTTCACTTAACTGCATGTCAGTCACCCAAGTTTTAAGTGTACAAATGAAATGGAAACATTTATTACACAAATTTAATTACAATTCTAAGAAATAAACATGCAAATTAGATAGAGTTCAATTTGCAGATGCTAATCCTCATCCTTGATCTTGTTCCTTCCTCCCTTGATTTTCAGTCTGTGCGGCTTCTTGATTCCTAGGGAGTCAGGCAGCCAGAGGTTTGGTTTTTCACAGTTGGAGGATCACTGTTTTAAAGAAGTGTTATATTTAGCACATCTGGCATAGTGGCAGTAAACAAACATTATAGTCTTTGTAACACTTTTGTGCAGGTGCCTTCTCCCGATTTTATTAGGTCTATGGCTTCCAAGCCTCTGCCTTCATTACACCTGAAATGACCTATCTCGACTATAGAGGGGTCCCTAGACAGAAGTTATGAATTAATGTTTTTTAAAAACAAACTCTGAGCCCATTATAGGAGAAAATTGCTATTTGCAAAGTATTCTGATTCCAAGGCTTAAATTACATTCTCTTGAGCAAGGACAACCTCTTGTATTACTTTTTATTTCCTGGAGGTTTTCCCTGGAGGCTCCCCACCCAGAAAGAGTTGCCAATTCAAGTTGTAGCAGGACCATGGTTGCTTTTTTTTGTACGTACGAAGCTCAGGCGGGGGCGGGCGGCGAGGGGAGAATAACTGTTTGGTCCTGCAAAGACATCTGTTTCTCATCTCCGTTTGCTGTGGCAAAGGAGAAGAAAGTCTTTTGCAAAGGGTGGGAAAGGCACAGTTTTTTGTTTTGTTTTGTTTTGTTTTTTTAATCACACGCACACACAACAACAACAAAACTAAACCAAATTTAAAAAGACAAGACATCTCGGAAGGTTGCGGAGTGAATATATTATTCCGCTGGAGCGGAGCCCCCAGGGTTAGGGCGGGAGCCCGAGAGCGCGTGGGGTCTGGGCTGCGGGCTGGAGCTGGGCCCGCGTGTCCCCGGGCACCGGGAGGGGAGGGGAGGAGAAGGAGGAGGGAGGGCGGGAAGGAGGGAAGGAGGCAGGGGGCGGGCTGGGGTGGGGGTGCGGGAAAGGCGCCCCGTGTGCAGCCTGAGGAGCGGCGGCGGCGGCGGGAGCAGAGGGAGGGAGGAAGAGCGCGCGCGCTTGTCATGTTCCCTCTCTCACCCTGGGGGCATCCTGCAGAACCTCTGCTCGGAAATCCACGGGGAAATGGCAAACAGGATTGACGGGTTTCACACGCTCCTCGCTAGACAGAGCCGCTCATTACCATAACCGTCTGCAGCGACGGCGGCGCAGCGCCCCAGTCGCGGCGGCGGGACCTGCCGGGACCGTCGCCCGCCGCACAACCGCGGTCACCGCCGAGCGGGCCGCCGGGCCGGGACCGGGACCTGCGCGAGTGTGCACCGGCGGCCGGGCTGGCGCCCAGCCCAGAGCGGACCAGCAGCAGCTCGAGCGCTGCGGCCGCCGCCTCCCGCTGACCCCGCGGTAAGAGCCGGGCTGGGCGCGGGCCGCGGGGGCGGGAGGGCCGAGCCGGGTGGAAGGCGAGGGTCCCCCGGGGCTCCTGCCCGCGCAGACGGGCACCCACGCGGCCTCCCGCGCGCTCTCCCGGCACCAGGGCTGCGCCGAAGTCACCGAGTGGACTCGCAGCGGGGCCGGGGCGGCGTGGGGGCCAAAGCACAGCTGGGCGCGGAGGCGGCGCGGGCTTTTCCCAGGGCTGGCTTGCGCCGCGGCGCCTTCACCAGGGCGGGAACCGCCGCCTCCTCTAGGGCTGCTCGGGCTGCCACCCGCGCGCACCGAGACAACTCCAGGGGCGGGTGGGGTCAGCACTCTGGTGAGACCTCAGGGTCCTCGGTGGCCGCTTAGTCCCTCATTCTCGGGAACCGGGGTCAGTAGGAGGGGTGCCCCCAGGTCCGGACGCCGCGGCGCTTGGCAGGTGGGAATGGAAGGATTGTGGATGTCAGGAGCGCGCGTTTGCAAGAAAAAGGAATTGATGCAGTAGCTGACACCTTCTGTCCCCCGCCACCTCCGCCCCCGCACCCTCCTCCCCGGCAGCCGAGCCGCGCTGCGGGCGGCGGCGGCTCCTCTGTCCTCAGCTCACCTCCCCGGCGGGCTGAGGCTGCTGCCCGCCTGGTCCACGCCTCCGCTTCTCTCCGCCCTTCTTCCCCTCCCGCCTCTTCGGCCCTAGCAACTTTCCGAGTGCCCGGCTGCGGCCGCAGAAGCAGGCAAGAGGCGTCCTCGCCGCCAGGTCCCACGGGCGCAGGGCGCTTCCGCAGCCACGGGCTTCCAGCCTGCTTGGCCGGCGAGAGAGGGAGGGCCGGGCCGGCATCTGCTGCGGGCTGGAGCGCGGGGGCCCGGGCCAGCCCCGCCAGAGCCCTGCCAGCCGCCGTGAGTCATTTCCTTGGAATCCTACCTTTGGTGTTTATTTCCCTTAGAAGGAAACTTGGCTGAAAAAAAAAAAAAAAAAAAAAAAGGATAAGACATAAAGAATAATAATAGCTCTTATTCTTCAGAAGAGGCACACGGCTCCGGCACCGTAGGAAGACAACTTGCCTTTGTTCCCGGACACTTGGGGTGTTTACTTTCTCCTGTGGCTGGCGGCCGGCGGGCGCTGCTGGCTACCCCAGGAGGGGCTGGGGGCTACGGCACCGACCCCCCGGGGGTGTGTCTGTGCGGGAGCCAGGATGTGGTTGGTGGCTGCCGTCTGCCTTCAAGAGGTCTGCCCTCCAAACCTCGGACCGCTCCCCCAACCTTGGGCACCTCTTCATGCTCCTTAGGCCCAGCACCTGCAGCCCCAACCATAAGACCCAGCTTCAAGCTCTTGGCCTCGCGGGGCTGCAGCTGAGAAATGTACTTTCCAGGGCAGACAGGTGTACTGCAGGGACCGGCAGAAAAGCGACATCTGTCTGTGTAGAAGGGTTGAAGGATTTTGCTCGCCCATCTAGGCCCTTCCACTACTACCACCAGGAGCTGGAGAAGCTGTTGAGATCACTTTAGGACAATGTGGAGGTCAGGGGCTTGATGCCATTTAAGGCTGGCAGCATGGATCGGGGGTGGAAATAGCCCTGTAATTCCCTGCTTTCCAGTATTGGAATCAGACCGCTAACTGCTATAATGATCTTAATCAAATGGTGTCTAATTTTCAATGACAGATGGAAGAAGAGGTGGGCAAAGAATGGCCTGGAGCCCCTTGTTAGAGTCAAAGTGCCGCTGATTTCATAGGTACCCTGTTTTGTGTGTCAGCACCTCCTGTTAGCATCATAATTGCTTCGAGGAAAGAACAAGCCCAACTCATCTGGAAAAACCAAATTGTATAGAAATGTCTGGTAACTTTAGTATGAACATTTGCCAGAAAAGCTTGACATTCTAGCCCTCAGTCTTCTGGGGAGGCTGGACGTGTCATTCCACTACATCCACCTGGGTGACAGAACAGACATGCAGGAGCCTGAGAATGAGGGGTTAGGGCTTTTTTTTTTTTTTTTTTTTTTTTTTCATCTTTTAAACCCATGCAGAGACAAAACACACTCTGACACCTGCGTGTTGAATCCATCACCTCCGATCATAGAAAATAAATTTTGCCATAATGTATATCTTTGTCTTTATTTAATATTAATAGAACATGAATTTGTGGACTTGAATGGCTGACGTCAGTAGCAGAATTATAATGTAAATCTCATCATACAGAGAATTATGACAGTTTAGATCTCTACATGTAATATGAAGAAAGATTCATGTTAAGCATTTGTGCTTACCGCTGCACGGTCCAATTTTTCGTGAACATTGAATTTGCCTTCTTAATCTGTTAACAGCTAGTGTAAGTTCTAAATAGACTAGGAAGACTCAATTGCAAAATCTCTTCCCTGCTTCCAAATAATCCCAACTCATTCATGATTTATTCAGATTTACATAAATCACTTGCAGAACTCAGTCTCTCTAGTTTAGGATTTTGTGTGTGACAGTTCTCAATTTAAAAAAGAAAAACTTTCTAACATTAGATAATTAGATATTAAAATTGAGATATTGTAGAAAAAAAATAGCCAAGATAAAAACTGTTATGCCATGTTTCAAGTTCAAATGCATAAAAGGATCTCATATGGTGGAAATAATACTAATAGAAACACTGAAATCCTCAGCAACCAAAAAATCTACTACCAAAAAGTTATTAAAATATAAACAAACTCTGAAGAACATAAAACAGCACAGGGCCCATATAATGTCCTATTAAACAAAAGTAATTGCTGCAAATGCTTTTCTTTCTTAAGGGGCATGAGTTTGTTAACCTGCTTTTGTTTACATGAAATAAAATTCTGCATAGGCAAAAGGCTTGGATCTTATTTCCATGATCTAACACGAAAGTGTTAGATTTTCAAGCTAGAAAATATTGATTCTCTCAGTAAGAAAGGGCTGCTTACTCTTGAAAAGCTACAATTCATGTGCTCTTGGCAACAGCATTTCCTGATATGATTGTCTCTTAGAATAGGTTAAGAAACTGGACCATTTCATGAGAGCCTTCCAGGGAATAAATCATCATGAAGTTTGATACCCTACTTGGATGTGGAGTTTGAGAAGTGACGATAGACGGAAGAGCTTAATTTGTTAAATCGATGTAGGCTAAGTTGCTTTGTTGATGACTCAAAGAGAAAAATAAATGACATGTCCCATCATTTCTTTATAAAGATTTAATTGAACCTTTCTTTTCCCCACTTGTAAAAGGTTTTCTAATAAGTCCTTACTGATGTCTCCTTGGAGGGCATCTTAAAAGAGAAGGGGGAGGTGGTTTAGCAGCCCAAATCAGTTGAGTCTAATTCTCTCCACTGACCTGTACACCTTCCCTGTCTGTCAGAAGGTCTTACTTCATTAGTCAGTGTGGTCGGGACAGAATTTGAGACCTCAGAGAGAAGACTGGGTGAAAGGTAGAGTCATCTCTGCCAGGAGCTCATCTTTTAGTCAGAAGGACATTGTCACTTTAATGATGCTATTTCGCCTTATCCTGCTGTGTTTCCTCTTTCTTGGAAGTGGACCCTTGTTATATCATGTAGGTGATAATAGTCTCCCATGAGACAGTGATAGATTCACTGTTTCCCAAAAACATTAGCAGCTGTATAATTTGGAAAAGAAAGCAAGAATTGGGCCCTTAGATTATATTCGAAAGACAATCAATCTTCAGAAAGCGAGCTTGACATCACTTGTGTGACAGTTCTTGAAACCACAAAGTGGGATAGTGGGGGCTTGGGTCTCTTAAAGGGATTGGCAGTTAACAAGGCACTGAGGCTGCGCTACTGTCACCACTGGTCTATGGCCCTAGGTCTTTTTACTTTCCTATCAGACTCTCTTCTCCCTTGAACTTACTCTTGACCCTACCTTGAGACCTGCATAGGACCAAGTGAAGTCACAGAGCCCCCATGAAAGTGACCTCACTGCCTGAGCTATGGAGGGGCCCAGGAAGCCTAACAGAGCAGAGAGGCTCCCATCTCCCTGCAGGCCCAAGGGAGCGAAGGGCTTGAACTGGAGAGAAGGGCAGTGATGTGTTGCCTCTTGGAAAGTTCCTGCTCTGTGTCTGGGCTTTGCAGTGTAAAGAGTTGCTGGCTGCCTCTGGCCCCAGAGCCTGGCTCCTGTTTAATATTCTGCCTGCTCCGTTGATGTTGTGCTTGGCTCCTGTGGGACTGCAACTCAGGGCTTGAAACTGGAGCCAATTTTCTGTCTTCATCTCGCAGTGTTTTGACTGGAGGCAGATCCAGTTCAGGCCGATCAGGGCTGGTGGAAACAACTACCAAGTGTCTCTCTGTCTGCTTTGCTTTGGGAGAAGAAAGTGGAGGGAGCCCCAGCATGTTGTAGAGGAACTACCCTGCGGAAACGAGAGGAGGAGGGTGCAGGGGGCAGCGGAACAGACCGAACCTCAGAGCATCAGTCGGAATTACGGTGGAGATTTCTGCTTCCCCTGCCCTTTTCTTTTGATTGATTAGTGGATTTCATCAAAGGAGGCTCCTGGGGGATTGACTAGAAAATTGATTTTGCCTTATTAATAGAAAGGAAGCGCAAGGGTTTTGGCTTCTTAGCGGTACATTTTCTTTGGAAGGTCAGAAGGAAAATGTGTTTGGGAGGCAAAGCAGCTGTCTAAAAGAGGGCTGAGGGGAATCTGAGAACAATAAGAAATGGGATTTTAAAGATCCACCCATGAAATGCAGATTGCTGAACACAGAGGCTGAGCTAATAGCAGCAAGAGAGTTTGCCGAGGTTTTCTTTGAAAAAATAATAAAATGTTTCAGGGTGAAGGGGAGGGGCAAGAAGTAAAAGTTTCCCAAAGCAAAGAAATGAAGATGCCAAGGCCCTCCCTTGGCTGGCTCTTGATTAGGGCTGTTTTCTTCATTCTTTTTTTTTCTTTTCAGATCTGAGGCTGTCAGAGATGACTCTGGTTCTGTCCATGAATAGATTCTGCGAGCCCATTGTCTCGGAAGGAGCTGCTGAAATTGCTGGGTACCAAACGCTATGGGAGGCTGACAGCTACGGAGGCCCAAGCCCCCCAGGGCCAGCACAGGCTCCTTTGCAGGGAGACCGGGGAGCTGGTCCCCCGCTGGCAGGTATTGCCCTTGATTTCCGCTCCGCCCCCCCCCCGCCCCCCGCCCCGCCCCGGCCCCTCGCTGCCCTCTGCCGCCAGCCTGGTGGACAGGAAATGGTGTCTGGGGTGCCCTTCTGAGCCAGGAGAGCTAAAGCTCCAAGGACTTCCCGGGCTGCCTGTGTGCCTCTCATAAGTGAGTCCAGAGCTCCAGAGAGAGGACCAGAGGCGCTATTTAAATTGCATTTAAACCTGTGTCTACCCGTGGTGCTGCTTGCGTGTAAGTCATGTGTCTATACTACTAAGAGGGCCAAACTGATATTGAAACTCTGAGTCTGGGTTTTGGTTTTCCACCCTGTGGAAGCCGATGGTTCTCTCACAACTATGAAAGCTCTGGTGGGCTCAACAATGACACCAAGGAATCTGCACTTTGGGCCAGCAGCTATGTGCCTCTTTATTAACCCATTTATGCCCAGTGTTCCATTATTGGAACGCTAAGCTTGAGGGAGTTATTTATACCCTACTACTTAAGGTCATCACCAAAGTCAGACGTTTCACACACAAAAAATTGCAACCTCTGGCATAAATGGGTTAAGGACACAATTGGCTTTGGGACTGTAGGGAAAAAAATTAAAGCCAAGAAAATAAAAATATGTTCTTCCTGATTCTTTCTTCTTATGGTTTAAGTTCCTCTGGATTTCTGTGGAGTACTACCTATTTTTTAAAAGAAACTAAAATATAAAGCAAGTACTCAGTGCAGTTTGTTTTGCTAAAAAAGATTGAAAGCTGTGGTCTTCATGGTTGACACACTACATCTTGGAGAATGAAAAGAACATTAGTTACTCAAAATTTTAAATCAAAATTTAAAAATTTGAATTTTGTATTTTGAAAAAATGAATATTATAATTCCAATGTGCAGATAACCATTTGTTTACTAACCTAAAGCAAATAATGTTTTAAAGTTGTTTGGTTATCCGTGGTTAAAAATGTATACATTTGAACAGTGGTGCTATGTTATCATGGATTTAATTA